GTTTCTTGTTTCTGAAGCATAAGCCATTTTTCTAGTGCTGAATTTATGCACAAACTAAGTAAACTATATTTAGGGACTCTTATTAAGAGGGTTTTCTAAATGCACACAAATCCGATAGAACCATCTGCTTTTGTGGAGTAATGCTATGGGGCCTCCAAATTATCTGCTGGGTCTTACTCCATGATGAAACAGGACTATATTTCCAAATGTTCCATCACATAGTCCAAACGTAGCAGGAAATGTGATGTGTGACACTTATCACCAAATCACCATTTTGTAGAGGAATTCCTCACTGTGTCCATACTTCTGGATACAAATTCATATTTGGAACGGGGACCGAATTGGTTGTTATCCTCGGTGAGCTGTAATTTCTGTTTATATCAATGTTTAAGAAACTGTTAAAATACCTTAATGTACCTTTGAATGTTTCCACTAATATATTATTATGTTCTCTTTTTGGTGGGAATCTATAATGTAACTTTCTGATTGTGTAGGCTTATAGAGACTTCCTGCATATTGCAATGTACTCTTTTATCCATCTAAAGGAATTTAAGATGCCTAGGATGATCAAACTCTGAATTACTCGGTCATTATTAAGGCTTCAGTATACTGTGGATTACGAATCCCAGAATGCCCCAAAGCCATGTTGTCTGGGGGATGTTGTGGAAGTTGTAATGTCACTAATTTCAATAATCTAAGGGAGGTAAAATCCAACTCACATACTAAGTCAGTTTGGACTTCTGGAGATGCCATGGATGGAAGTTCTCCATGTTTTCCTTAATGGAGTTTATCCATTTGGAGTTCAATCTTCCTTTTCCACTAATGCCCTCCACTTTATTGTCTTTTCTAGTGAGACATGTCTTCTCATGATATGGCCAAAGTATGATAGCCTTGGTTCAGTTATCTTAGTTTCTAGGGGGAATTAAGACTTGATTTGTTCTAAGACCCATTTATTGGTCTTTTTAGCAACTTATGGTGTCCATAGAGCTCTTATCTAGTCCCACATGTCAAATGAGTTGATTTCCTTCCTACCAGTTTTCTTCACTCTCCAGCATTCACAACCATACAAAAAAATGGAAATATGACAGAATGGACAATCCTAGCTTTAGGATTAAATTATATAACTTTACACTTCAGAATCTTGTCTACTTCCTTCATTGCTGCCTGCATCACCTGTAATATTATCTGTAATATATCTCTATTATTATCTGAACCACTTTGTCTAGGTGGGGGGAGGGGGGCACCATAGTTTTTTGGAGTGGAGAAAGTCCATATCAAGTGAGGTAATGCATGAAAGTATTTTGTTACAGGTACTTGGATATAACTACCTTAACACACATATTCATATAAGCTCATGGTTAGATGGAGCTCAACTGCAATTCATCATGTTTAAGAAATATATTAATGTTCGTATTTAAGGAAAAAAGTTTGTGAGGATGCGGGGTTTGGACACACTACAGTTCTACCACACAGGTGTCCAAGTTTTTAACATCTCTGACACCCATGTGTGTGTGTGTATACTAGCCGTCCCCTGCCATGCGTTACTGTGGCCCATTATGTGTATATGTGTTTTGTGTGTGTATATATGCATATTTGTGTGTGTATATATGCGTATATGTGTGTGTATATTTGTGTATATGTGTATATATGTGGTGTTGAGCATGCATCGTAATTTTTTTTGGCTTTTTAAGTCTCTTCTGCTGTGTTTTTCAGAGTGATGGTTTCTCGTTGGCCTGATAGGGGTATTGTGTCAAAATTTGGTGTTAATTTGTCCTGTGGTTTTTGAGTTATGTTAATCTCACAAACAAACACTACATTTTTATTTATATAAATATATAGGTGTGTGTGTGTGTGTATGTATGTATGTATGTATATAGGGAATTCTCATGAACAACCTTTAATATAGCTAAAATTACTGCAAAGTAAAGGAAGGTGGGATTGATGTTCATGTATTTTCATAAGTGCATGGATGGACACAGTTTAGGATCCTAAAGTTGGGAGTTTGGTATCTGTTGCAGTTTAGTTCCAGGAACTTCCACGGATACCAAAACCCATGGATGCGCTGGTCTCATTATAGACAATGGCATAGTAAAATGGCACCCCTTATATAAAATGGGGGGTAATTCAAACAGAGAGAGCCTGAGGATCTGTGAAATAGTGGGAGACTACAACAAGGTATTGCAACACAGCAAATTTGTTTTGCTTTTTAGAACATTTTTGAGCCATGATTGGTTGAATCCATGGATGCAAAACCAATGGATATGGAGAGATGATTCTATGCATTTGAAAAATTGCAAATCTGCCTTTTCTTGTCATACTTTTGCAAAAACTAACCAAAGGAGGCAAATATTTGTAATGACACATACTGGTGTGTAGAAGTAACAGGGATCAGAAACCTGATCTTTGGGACTGGAACAAAGCTGTGTATATTTCCAAGTAAGCAGTTGTCTTGTTCATTTATTGTGCCCCAGAATGTTGAGAAAGTGTTTAGTGTGGAATAATGCATATGGTTTCACCCTATCAATGGTTGCAAAAGTCCTAAGAGCTAAAGGAGTTTGCACTCAACTAAGAGTGCGCCTACACCGTGGAATCAATAATGTTTGACACCACTTTAACACTGCATGCATCTGGGTTTTCTTGAATGAAAAGATAATATGTAAACCATGTTTGGATACACAGTCAGCTCTCCACATTTGCAGGGGTTAGGGCCACAGGACCCCACAAATAGGACTGAAACTGGTAAGTTTTCTTTGATTCCAGTCTCTTGCCTCACCTTCTCACAGAACTGCATCGAAGGGCAGGAAATGTGGTTAATGATGCTAATGCTGAAGCTGTGAGCTTACAGCCATATCAAAACAGTAGCATGCGTTAGTACATAGCAAGGTGTGAGATTTGTGGCTGCTTCTGAGAAACTGGTTTTTCAGAATTGGAACAAAACACTTGGTTGCAACAAGCAGGAGCTCAAAGGAGCAAACTGCAGGTTTTTTTTTTTTTGCAAAAGCAATTCCAAGATGCTCACCACATTGCAGTTGAAAAGGTTTTTGTTTTCATACATATGTCTTCCCTTTGAAGTTAATTTATTTATTTATTTATTTATTTTACTTGTATACCGCAGTTTCTCAGCCCAACAGGCGACTCAACGCAGTTTACAACAAGGATAAGAATCAATCAACGATATACAATTTAAAACCATAAAAGCATAATATACAATATTGACACAACAATAGACAACACAATGCATCTCATAACTAGAGTCGTGATCCAATCCGTCGTCCAAATTTCCATTCCTGTAATCATCACATTCATTGCACTGTTTAACCGAATGCCCGTTCAAACATCCAAGTTTTTAATCTTCTTCGGAACACCATTAGCGAGGGGGCTGATCTTACCTCCATAGGAAGGGCGTTCCACAGCCGAGGGGCCACCACAGAAAAGGCCCTGTCTCTCGTCCCCGCCAGCCGCATTTGTGAAGCCGGCGGGATAGAGAGCAGGGCCCCTCCAGAAGATCTTAGGGTCCTGGTGGGCTGATAGGCTGAGATACGTTCGGATAGATAAGTTGGGCCAGAACCGTTTAGGGCTACCCAAGTAATCATTTAGCCCTTTAGCTATAATTAGCTATAATTTAAATTAATTAAATAAATAAATTTAAAAATTAACTCTGAATATTCTGTTTGGGTGCATCTATATTTGTAGAATTAATGCAGTTTGACACTTATTTAACTGCCATGGATTAAAACTATGGATCTCAAGTATTTGTAGAGGCACCAGCCTTTTTTTCACCAAGAAGGCTAAAGACCTTACAAAACTACACCCCCCCCCCCCCCCGGGATTCCATGGAATGTCACCATGGCTATTAAAGTGGTATCAAAATGCATTAACTCTACATATAGATGCACCCCAAGACTTGATACTCTATCTGTAGATCAGGAGTGCATCTACAGTGACACAAACATAGTAGTCTAATATCATTTTAACTGTCCCTTCTCATCATAGGATCCTGAGATTTGGACTCCTGTGGGATATTCAGAATTCTCTGCCAGAGAACATTGGTGTCCATTTTCTACTAAATTACAAATCCCAGAATTCCATAGGGTGGAGCCATGATAGTTAACGTGGTATCACTGTGTGATTGTTGTTGTTTATTCATTCCATCACTTCCAACTCTTCGTGACCTCATGGACCAGCCCATACCAGAGCTTCCTGTCAGTTGAGCCACCCCCAGCTCCTTCAAGGTCAAGCCATCCATCTTGCCCTTGGTCGACAAAAGAGTGTCACTGTGCGATCACTCCTCAAACATATAATCCCACTTTAACTGTCATGATGACATCCTATGGAATCCTGGGGGTTGTAGTTTGTTGAGGAGCTAGAGCTCTGTCTGAGAAAATCCTGCCCCTAAATTCTAGGGGTCCATATGATGGAACCATAGTAGTTAGTGTGGAATCATAGTACTTCAACTGCACGATGTGGAAATGCTCTGATCTGGCCTTTTCTCTTGACTTCCAAGAAGTAAATAATATAGATGGCAGTAAGAACACAAATGCCCTCAGTGATTAAAAACCATAGTGGGAATAAGCTGATATAAATAAATTAATCCTAGAGCAAGTCAAACCTGATCTTGCCCTAGAAGCTAAGATGACTAAACCATAAGGCGATCATATTTTGGCCTTAACATGAGAAGGCACAACTTCCTAAATAAAACAATCATCCTTGGAAAAGTAAAAGAGAGTAGGTAAAGTAAACGATGGCATTACAAATGGATAGACTCAACCAAAGAAGTGACAGTTGCACGGAGTCTGTAAGACATGAGCAGAGCTGTTGAGGATAGAGTGATATGGAAGTCTCTCATTCTTGGAGTTATAATAAGTTGAAGTCGAGTTGATGGCAGTTAACAACACAAACTACCGTACTTGAAATATTGGTTTCTACAGGAAGCTATGGATAGCTTTCTGTTATCTTGTCACATGATAGAATGGATAACTTCCTGTCCTTTTCTTTTGCAGATCTTGTGCGTTCTCTTCCTTCTGTCTATAAACTGAAGCCATCTTCTGACGAAAAACAAGGCAAAGCCGCTTGCCTCTTTACTGACTATTCCCCCAACCCTCTCAATGTTGGTATCAAGAAAGAAGACATGAAGAACGTCAATGGCTCAGTGGTTGTCGTGAAAGAAGACCAATCTGCCAAAGGAACTGCCAGCTATGGCATCGTTTTATGGGGCAACAATGATGACAGTTTTGATTGTTATGTGGATGAAGAAAACCCAAAAGGTAACCTATGAAGATAATATTGGCACACTGGTCAAATTCTAGCTCCATCCTTCTACTGTGTGAAATAAGCATTGTTCATCACCCCTTAAGCTAATTTAGATTGTGTTGTATATCCCAATGCAAATCTGGAGTAGCTCTGGATTTAGGATGTTTATCTAATAAGGCCATTGTTTCAAAAGTCTGGGATATACAACATTTGCTCCACTGCATTTTACCTCACCCTTCTTCCTAGTCATCAGCAGAGCTCAGATGAAGCTCTGTGGCCACCTAGAAGGAGCAGCAGGGGCAAGACAGGCACCATTCACCCCCTTTCCCTACACCGATGAGTTTCCCAATACTTAATATGTCTAAACTCTTTTCCAAATGTTTCTGAATAGTATTTTCAACCCTAGATAGGAATAATCAAGCCCAGATCGTATGGGTCATCACCGAGGAAACTCAAAGCTGGTCAATGCTCCACATCGGTTGATATGTCCTAGCATTGCATAGAAATTCAATTAGAGGATGCATAGCAGGGAATGTATAATAAGGGTATGAATTTGCAAGGTTATGGGTTGTAATTTCTTGGTGGATGTTTGTGGCACCAAACATCCACCAAGAAATTACATGCCCCATTGCAAGAATATTATTATCACCATAATGTTCTTAGAAAATCTGAATATTATGCCTCTAGGTACAGGATGCTGAGGCAGAATTTTCTTGAATTTTGTTTTACTCACAAAATGGAAGTGATCTTCTGCCACTTTTGCTGGAAATCAGAAGTGGAAGCCATTAGAAGCCAAAACTAGCTTGAAGCAGACAGAGTGGCTCCATATGGCTGTCCCCAACAATAGAAAGTTTTTAAAAAATGACTGTGTGAGCATTGTGTAGGGAGAGGCCCAAAACATCTCAATGCACACTGAGTCTCTGTCCTAATCAAGCAGATTACAAAATGTCAGAATACCATCTGAGAATACAGATGTCAGCATGAGCTCTCTTAAGGGAAATGTTGACAAGCTGGAATGTGTCCAGAGAAGGGTGACTAAAATGATCAAGGGTCTGGAGAACAAGCCTTATGAGGAGTGGCTGAAAGATCTGGGCATGTTTAACCTGAAGAAGGCTGAGAGGAGACATGATGAGGGCCATGTATCAAGAGGTGAGGGGAAGTCTTAGGGAGGAAGGAGCAGGCTTGTTTTCTGCTGCCCTGGAGACTAGGATGTGGAACAATGGCTTCAAACGACAGGAAAGGAAATTCCACCAGAACATTAGGAAGAACTACCTGATTGTGAGAGCTGTTCAGCAGTGGAACCCTCTGCCCTGGTGTGTGGTGGAAGCTCCTTATTTGGAAGCTTTTAAACAGAGGCTGGGTGGCCATCTTTCAGGGGTGCTTTGAATGCGATTTTCCTGCTTCTTGGCAGGGGGTTGGACTGGATGGCCCATGAGGTCTTTTCCAACTCTAGGATTCTATGATTCTTGATTTTGGCATCTCATTCTGTGTTCCATTGAACCACCCTGGAACAAAATAAAACCAACAAAATATTGAAAACATTATTTCTGTATCTGAATTCAATCTTGTTATGGCCATCATCAGCATAATCATTTATCTTCCTTCTCTATCTCTCTCCAGGTGATTCAGGCACCTGTTTAGAAGAGGGTGGTGACATCACTTTTGAAACAGGTATGTTTGACTGTAAATAAAAAGCAGTAAATGGGTGAAAATGAAAAGAAATAAATCATTCAAGAAGTTGGTGGGATGGTAGTGTTGCCACAAAATCAGCAAGGTATAATTATCAGCATGTTAATTATCCCTTATCTGTAGTTCAAAATGCTCTGAAATCCTAAATGGGTAGCTGAAACAAGTTTTGTTTCATGCACAGAATTATTAAAAACATATTGCCTAAAATTTCCTATTGGTGTAAGGCAGTGGTTCTCAGCCTTCCACATGCCACGACCCCTTAATACAATTTCTCATGTTGTGGTGACCCCCAACCATAACATTATTTTCATTGCTACTTCGTAACTGTAATTTTGCTACTGTTATGAATCGTCATGTAAATATCTGATATGCAGGATATATTTTCATTCACTGAACCAAATTTGGCACAAATACTCAATATGCCCAAATTTGAATACTGGTGGGGTTGGGAGGGGGATTGATTTTGTCATTTGGGAGTTGTAGTTGCTGGGATTTATAGTTCACCTACAATCAAAGAGCATTCTGAACTCCACCAATGATGGGATTGAACCAAACTTGGCACATATAACTCCCATGACCAAGAGAAAATACTGGAAGGGTTTGGTGGGCATTGACCTTGAGTTTTGGAGTTGTAGTTCAACCACATCCAGAGAGCACTGCGGACTCAAACAATGATGGAACTGGATCAAACTTGGCACAGATACTCAATAGGCCCAAATGTGAACACTAGTGGAGTTTGGGAAAAACAGATCTTGACATTTGGGAGTTGTAGTTGCTAGGATTTATAGTTCACCTACAATCAAAGAGAATTCTGAATCCCACTAACGATAGAATTGGGCCAAACAACCCACACAGAACCCCCTAATAGATAATACTGTATTTTCTTATGGGCTTTGGAGACCCCTCTGATAATCCCACATGACCCCTCCAGGGGTCCTGACCCCCAGGTTGAGAAACGCTGGTGTAAGGTTTCTATGAAAAATCAATGAATTTCGTGTTGAGAGTTTGATTTCATCTCTGAGGTCTACTATTGCTATGTACATATATGCAAACTTAGGTATTCATTTTTTTTTAAAAAAAACCCAAATCCAAAACTCTTCTGATTCTGGACATTATGGATAAGGGATATTCAGCCTGCAATGGACTAATTGAGAAATGCAGTAAAATGTTCTGGAATGAATTACTACTAAAAAGTAACTTTGTGAACTCAGAAAAATAGGTCTTGTTTAAAGGGACAGCAAAATCTTTCTTATCCAAGCAATGAAAAATTCAACAACTGCTTTTGCTTGCATATGAAGTCTAGTGACAGTTTCCTATTCTTCTTACCCAAAATTTCAGATGAGAGGCTGAATCTGCTTTCTCTCACGGTTCTGGGACTGAGAGTTATTTTCCTCAAGACGGTGGCTTTCAACCTTCTGTTCACTTTCCGCTTGTGGTCCAGATGAGGTGAGTTAAGGGCTCCTTGGGTAGAGGCAAAATTCTCAAGTGATGCTGACTATGGGCAGGAGATTTCCCTTTGTGAATGCACAAGTTTGAAATAAGAGTTGGGATTTCAGAACAATCCTCCATGCTAGCTCTCAGTGAAAAGTGATTTAGAAATAGGCAAGAATGAAGTAATTCTTTAAATGACTATTAAGGGGATTTCAACTAAACACTAAGGGTGCATCTGTACTGTGGACTGAATGATCTTTGACACCAATTTCACTGTCATGGCTCAATGGTATGGAATTAGAGAAGTGATAGTTTTACAAGGCCTCTGGACTTCTGTGCCAAAGAATTCTAGTGCCTTACCAATCTACAATGCCCAGCATTCCATAGCATTGTGCCAATGCAATCTAAATGGTGTTGAATTCAGTTAATTCTGGGTTGCTGTGAGTTTTCCGGGCTGTATGGCCATGTTCCAGAAGCATTCTTCCCTGATGTATGGCAGGCATCCTCAGAGGTTGTAAGGCCTGTCAGAAACTAGGAAAGTGGGGTTTATATATATCTATGGAGTGTTCAAGGTGGGAGAAAGAACTCTTGTCTGCCTGAGGCAAGTGTGAATGTTGTAATTGGCTAGCTTGATTAGCACTGAATAGCATTGAATAGCCTTGCAGTTTCAAAGCCTGGCTGCTTCCTGCCTGGGGGAATCCTTTGTTGGGACTCTAGGGTGTAATGTAGATGGATCCTAGGAAGATCACCTTGACACTATGCTTCAGAAAGTGTTGGTTCCTTCAGACAGATAGAATCATAGAGTTGGAAGAGACATTATTGGCCATCCAATCCAACCCCCTCCAAGAAGCAGGAAAATTGCATTCAGAGCACTCTCCAGATGGCCATCCAGCTTCTGTTTAAAAGCCTCCAAATAAGGAGCCTCCACCACACTCCAGGGCAGAGAGTTCCACTGCTGAACAGCTCTCACAGTCAGGAAGTTCTTCCTCATGTTCAGATGGAATCTCCTTCTTGTAGTTTGAAGCCATTGTTCTGTGTCCTAGTCTCCACGGAAGCAGAAAACAAGCTTGCGCCCTCCTCCCTGTGGCTTCCTCTCACATATTTATACATGGCTATCATGTCTCCTCTCAGCCTTCTTTTCTTCAGGCTAAACATGCCCAGCTCCTTAATCCGCTCCTCATAGGGCTTGTTCTCCAGACCCTTGATCATTTTAGTACAAGAGGCTACACATATAGCTTGTAGGCCTGGGTAACAACGGAAAAATTTGTTTCTAAAATCGATTCGTTTTTTGGGGGTTTTTGCGTTTCGTTATTTAAAATAATTACAAAATTTTCCTTTAAAAAAGTTCGATATTTACGAAATTTCGTAAATGTGAAAAAATTACAAAACAATAACGAATCGATTTCCGAAACAATAACGAATCGATTCGTTAATGGCGGACGCGACCGCGCAATACGCTAAAAAACCTCCAAATGGGACAGGGGGAACTTCTGAAGCTTAATTAAACCAAAAACAACTATAAAAACCCTTAGAAAACCAAAAACAACTATAAAACTTGCCCCAGACATGCGGAAATAATAACGAAGCGACCTCAAAACGATAACGAAACGAATACAATAACGAAATACAAAACATTTACGAAACGATTTAAAAATTCGTTTTTTTAAAAATTGCTCCAGACTGGTTCGTTATCGTTTTGTAATTGAAAAATTAACGAATTTTTTAACGAATTACAAATTAACGAAACGAAACCGCCCAGCCCTATTGTCAACATCTTCCTTCAATTGTGGTGCCCAGAATCGGGCACAATATTCCAGGTTTGGTCTAACCAAAGCAGAATAGAGGGGTAGCATTACTTCCCTGGATCTAGACACTAGACTCCTATTGATGCAGGCCAAAATCCCATTGGCTTTTTTTGCCGCCGCATCACATTGTTGGCTCATGTTTAGCTTGTTGTGCATGAGGACCCCAAGATCTTTTTCACATATACTGCTCTCGAGCCATGTGTCTCCCATTGGCAGACCCTCAAGGATCTTTTAGTTGTGGATTCCTGCATTGTTACAAGACACCTATTTTACTTGCCCTTTGAAAGAGTATTTAAAATTTCTCATCCCTACTCAAAAGGATCCCTGATAGTTTGGAATAATTTCAACCCACAAGAGAGTATTTGTGATCATTTGATGTTTGCATGTTTCTAAAGTTGCCAGTTCTTCCAGATTAAAAAGGTTTCTAGGTTCTCCTGTGCAGATAATGACAATTTCCTTGCTCTTTATCTTAGTTTGGTGATGAAAGAAAAAAAAGGTGACTATATCTGGGATGCTGCAAAGAAAATACGCATCTGGAAGCCAACATGGAGAAGAAGCTTATACTTGGTCGGAAAGCTCCAGAATTCCCACATTCCTACACCAGCTACAAAGACTGTACATATTTTCTTATGGAAAGGAATGCTTCAGCTTCTGAATTTCTTCTTGCTGCACAGAAGTTCCATGCTGGGATGGAAGTTGTACAAACAAGTTGAAATCCTGCTATTTTTCTATTTTATCATTGCTATCTTCTGAACATAACCTACTGAAACCTCTGTATTTTTATTCAATATTAAAATATCTATATTCAAATTCTTGTGTTGCTTACTCTTGTCATCATCAGACACCATCAGTATTTCCCGTCAAATATTTTTGGCCATTTTGACAACACTCTGATGTTGCTTGGACACACGTCTTGGTTTTTCATTTCTGACATGTTACAGAGTATGTAATTAACAAGGAACTAAGAAAAACCAGGGACATTTTTTATGGTAGAGAGAAGTTTCTTGGTGATTAATGAAGCTAAGGAGGCTCCTCCGCCCTTCCTCCCAAAGCCAAGGACATTTTTCTCTCTCTGATTCTGTGGTTTTCTTCTCAATCAACAAAATCAGGAAAGCGAGGAGAGCTAGGATAGAAGCAAGAAGTTGCATTCATAATAAGAAAAGTTGTGGTGTGGAGCTAGGATTTATTATTATTATTATTATTATTATTATTATTATTTATTGACACAAAAGCATAGTATGTCACAGCAAACGAGATCTATATGCTGGATTATTATTATTATTATTATTATTATTATTATTATTATTATTATTATTATTATTACCACCACACTTTTTGTCTCCACAAGGAGACTCAAAGCAGCTAAAGGTGTGCACATACATGTTTGCATGAATAAACCTCCTGATCATTTAAATAAAATCAAATTGTCAAGTATCGAAACATTACATATGAATAACTTTCTCCATCCATATGTTTTGGATTGGAATTCTCATAGGCTCTTTCTAAAATGCCTTGTGGACAGGGATGATGTAGTTGCTATCCAACAACACCATCGATGGTCCAAGAGGAGGACCATGTGTTTGCCAGCACTGCACAGATTCTGGTTATCATTGACTGAAATTCTGATTCGATCTGAGCGGATACATCAGTGCAACCATAACTGATTTTCTACCACATCTGTGGGGCTACAATACCCATCATTTCACCCAAACTATCTGAAGGCATCTGGCTTAAGAAGGTATGGTTATGCATCCATCTAACATGGCATTATCCAACATTTATGGTCACACTGGAGCCTCCGGTGATGCAGTAGGTTAAACCGTTGTGCCAGCAGTTTGAATCTAGGGAGAGTGGATGAGCTCCCTCTGTCAGCTCCAGCTCCCCATGCAGGGACATGAGAGAAGCCTCCCACAAGGATGATAAAAACATCAATTCATCCGGGCATCCCCTGGGCAACGTCCTTGCAGACGGCCAATTCTCTCACACCAGAAGTGACTTGCAGTTTCTCAAATCGCTCCTGACACGACCAGAAAAAAAACAGTTGTAGCTTGATACATGACACATTTTCTCAGATATTTTTCATCAGAAATAATAATCACAATTTAGAACTGAAGAAAAAAATGGGGAGGGAGGGGGAAGTACTTGCTGTTTGTCTCAAATGAGAGCCCATAATAGTACTACTTGAGTAATAGTAGCAAATGCTTTCACAGTTTCACTTCTCAGAAAACAACTCAGATCCTGGGCTGGATATACGATTAAATGACTAAGAATGTCTTAAATCACAACACCAAATGACTAAGAACGTCTGTTTATGATGTGCCATTTTTCCACCAGCACCAAGAACCAAAAGACACAATCCTTTCAAAACCCACTTGTGTAGGTCTTCCTGAATTCAAGGTGATTTCTTTTAAGTAAAATTGTAGTCTAACAGTTGGAAACTGTTTATTCCTCCAGTTGCTGTTGGCCTGCAACTCCCAACATTCCTCACCATTGGCCTTGCTGTCTACTACGTAGTTGCAGTGAAATATTTAGACAGCTTTGAAATTCACACCTCTGGACTAAGTATTGAATCCACCTTTACTCATATGTAGAGGAAAAACATGGAGATTAACATGACTAAGGGAATTCTGATTTTTATAAGGTTTACTGATTAATCACAGAGTGGAAGGGACCACAAGGGCCATCTAGTCCAAGCCCCTCGCCTCATCAAGGAAGCAAATGCAATCAAAACACTCCTGAGAAATGACCATCTTAATGTCCAAAGGACAGTTCATCATCCTCCAAGGTAGTCAATGCCAACATATCTTTAAGCCAGTGGTTCCCAACCTTTTTTTTGACCAGGGGCCATTCTCCAATATTAGTACCAAAAGGATTATGAATCAGTTTTTGGTCAACTTTAAATTCAGTTTGGTAATTTGGGATGCTGATTCAGAAAATTGCATTGGATAGACCATGTCAGCTCTAGTTTCTGATACAGAACATATGCCATCCAGAAGTTGCCATCTGCTCACCCACAGAAAACCATATTCATCTAGAGCTGGTAGTAGCAATCTTTCATGGGTAGTCAAGCCTCTCCCCTCCTGACATCCCCGTTGTCTCAGCACAATAAGAGGGTTTTGCGAGACTAGCCACTCTTGTTGCCGTGTGGTTTCGAGGCAACGGTGTAATAATGGTGAAACTGCTGACCATATTTTCATTATTGCGGACTACTAGTGGTCCACAGGCCACAGGCTGGGAACCACTGCTTTAAGCAAAGTAGTTCTTTCTAATGTTTTGGTGATTTTTTGTATTTGGATTCAATTTGTAACTTAGTATCTGAGCGATATTAAAGACTCCACCGTCTACATATTGATCACTAGAGAAAATCAAGTGTTTAATTGTGAATTTATCTGTGCCATTTGACATTAACCTTCCTCCAGGAACCCCCAGTGGCACAGTGGGTTAAACCCCTGCGCTGGCAGGACTGAAGACCGACAGGTCACAGGTTCGAATCCGGGGAGAGAGGCGGATGAGCTCCCTCTATCAACTCCAGCTCCCCATGCGGGACATGAGAGAAGCCTCCCACAAGGATGATAAAACATCAAATCATCAGAGCGTCCCCTGGGCAACGTCCTTGCAGACGGCCAATTCACTCACACCAGAAGCGACTTGCAGTTTCTCAGGTTGCTCTTGATATGACAAAAAAAGTGAAAAGATGCATGCCCAGTGGAATTTCCCATCTATTCTGCTTTCAATTTTACAAAACAGTAAGGGCCATAAACCTGTTGTATATGGTTCAATGCCTCTATATCCTTCTCCTGCAGGCTTTTGAATATACAGGCAGTCCCTGAGTTACAAACATCTGACTTACAAATGATACATAGTTAAGAACGGGGTGAGACAACAGGAAGTGAGAGAAATCTATCCTTAGGAAGGGAAATCCACTCCTGAGTTATGGTCATGGGGAAAACGTTTTTCAACTGAAGCTTTCTTATCATCTTGTTTCCACAACAAGCCAAATTTTTCAAAATCCAATTATCACAGGGAGAAAGTGAGATGAAATCTTTCAAACAGGGGCACAGGCAGCAAAACAAACACCACAGGGATGTTCACCCTTCCCTATTCTATCCAATGAGTGTGTATGTATGTGCACAAACGCATATGGAACAGGTACATTTTTAAGTGTAACTCAGATAGATAAAAAAATAGATAGATATGACTGGAGTTACACTTAAAAATGTACCTGTTCTGATTTACATACACATTCAACTTAAGAACAAACCTACAGAACCCATCTAGCTCATAACTTGGGGACTGCCTGTATTATAATACAGCCCAACTTCTGTATCTTCAAGGGAAATGTTCCTGGATTTCTTGTGGATATGTGAAACCATGGAGAATAGTGAATCCTATTGAAATGAAGGACTTCTGTTCCAAGAATACCATAAAGTCATGCTCAAGGACCTAGGAAATACCCAGAGAGCATATATTTTGTTGGGCTTAGATGAATAAAACTATGGGTATCAGGTTCCTACTATATGTATATATATAATTTTACTTCTTTATTTCCACATTATTGGTTTGTTATTCATCAGTTTTATGAGTCAGGTCCCATGTTCCCTGTTCCCCTTTCAATAGGACTTATTCCAAAGTGCGTTCTTACACAAAAATTATTCTCCTTGAAATTGTATTTGACTTAAGATTTTTTTACTAGTCAGAAGTGGGGTGCAAAACTGAGAATAATGTCTGCAAAGCTATTTGGGGACTACAGCTTTGAAGATGCCATATCAAAGCCAAAGGTTCTACTCACAGTCTTTCAGAACCTTAACAGAGATTATTTTTAACCTCCCTCAACCAGCTGTTTTCCACCTAAGACCAAGTAAAATGTATTTATTTACATTTAATTCTCAAAAATAACTTCTCCACCCTCCCCCAACCCAAGCTGGGTAAGGCAGGAAGTAATAAGTGGGGCAGGAAGTGGAAAATGTATCAATCTTAAATGGGTCAAAGCAGCCAACTAACTCTCTTCCATGATGTCACAGGTGTAGGAGCCTATCTGGGTCAGCTTTTGAAGCACAGCCCACAGAAACCGCTTCCTCTCGAAAACAAGGTTGGTTTTCACAGAGGTGGGGAGTTCCAAAGTCGAGGCACGTGCCTGAGCTCACGTGAAAGGGCAAGGAGGCAGGGAGAACGTTAGACCACAATGCAGAAGGTGCTGCCCTAGGTTGAGTTGGAGACCGCAAAGATGAGAGCATTAATCCAGGTGCATCTGGGTCGGTGGAGGGGAGGAGGCAGCTAAGTTTATCATCACCAAAGGCCTGCAAGAACCAAGAATATCTCTGTGGCTACTTCAGTTGTGGGTGAGCTGGATATGAGAACGGGGGCAAACAGAGGCCTTCTGTGACCTCTTTGAACTAATCTAGGAGTCCTATTTGAATATTTTTCAATGTCTAAAATATATTCAATCTCAGTACTTTCATCAAAGACCAAAAGGTACCTATCAAAACTGGCCCAATAAGTATAGCAACTGGCCAATGTGGCAGGAAAGGTGAGAAATATCAGCACTCCTCTGACTTCTCCTCTTGGACATTTCTTTTTAGAGGACA